CACCAAGCTTATTAAGCAATGAGTTTGAAAAATTTTACGTTTTTAATAGTGCAAAACGGCTGACAAAATTTTGAAACTTTTTCTAGTAAAGCTCGAGCGATAGAACATATTAGATTTCCAAGAGTGTTGATAGCGCGAATCCCTTTGTAAAATGAAGACTATTTGAGCAAACTCATCAACCGATGAAAATATTGAAGGGTTTCTGGTTATTTCAGAGAGCAAATCGTCCCACTAAAACTTGAAAAACTTTATTAGTACCGAAATTGGAGATTTTTAATGAATTTATCAACCAATGATACTTCAAATTCTTTTGGGGTTCTTCGTCAGCATTAACTGTTTCGCAAAAAATTAGATTACTGAAGCGATGATTTTTTTAAGTTACTCCATAGCACGAACTGATTTGAACTAAATTAATACTTTCCTGATCCAGGAAAACTTGAAATAAATACAGTTTTGAGATAGCGAGAAGTGACGCGGTTCGCAAAAAAATCATGCAAATCCTTTGAATGAAAAATAGGGCAAAGAAATTATACTTTACGTTCTAGCACTGGTTTTTTGGTCAAATTTATCAAGGTTGGTCAATTATTTCAACTTATTTTATAGCTTGAATGCGTTCGCAAAAAATTTAATTTTTCTCAGCGAGCGCATCGATTAATGAAACTTTAATTCAAATTAAATGATAGCCTGAACCAGCTCGCGAAAAATTGTTTTTCCAAGCAAGCTCATCAAGCGATGAAATCTTCTAAAGCTGGATTGCTTTGGAATAGACATTAAGTAATTGTTAAAAAATTGTAAAGATTTTGTTAATTCATAGGGCAAAATGGTTCTCAGAAAGTCAGTTATTAAGCACAACCATCAAGCAAAGAAATTTCGAAAAACTTAATGTTTTTATAGAACTTAATTTAAGCGAACAGGTGCTCGAAAAATTGGAAATTTAATCAACCTTATCAAGCGATGATACTTCGATTACTTTATAGCATAAATCCGTTCGCAAAAAAAATTTCTAAACAAATTATCAAGCAACGAAACTTTTTGCTCATAAAATTGGAAATTTAATCGACCTTATCAAGTGATGATACTTCGATTACTTTAGAGCATAAATCCGTTCGCAAAAAAATTTCTAAAGAAATTATCAAGCAACGAAACTTTTTTCTCATTTTACTTCATAGCGCAAATGGGTTCGAATAACTTCAATGACTTCATAAGCGGGCTAGCTGAGCAAGGAAACTTTAAAATGATTTCAACTAACCTGACAAAGCGAATTTGTGCGCAAAAACTGAAGTTTTTTGAGTAAATTAATCAGAATATAAATTAATTCAATATTTTTCATCGTATGAATTCACTCGTATATTTTATGCAAATTCTCAAGCAATGAAACTTAATTTCATGTTAATTCACAGCACAATTCTGTTCAAAAAAAGTTTTTCTAAGCAAACTCATGGAGCAAAAAAAGTCAACAAGTTTCGGTTAATTCGAAGCAAGATTTGGATCGCAAAAAAAGCATTTTTCTAATCTATATCATCAAGCGATGGAATTTTGAAATCAGAAAATTATTTCAAACCACAAAACGGTTTGCAAATTTTTGAGTTATCATGCGAGCATATTGAGAGATGAAACTTTCAAAGATTTTGAATATGTTCAAAGCGCAAACCGGATTTTAAAAAACATCTAAGCGAGATTATCAAGCGCATGTTACGAAACTCAAAGTATTCGAACATGTTCAAAGCGCAAATCGGATAGCAAAAAACATCTGAACGAGATTATCAAGCGAGATTTTTATGATACTTTATAGCGCAAATCGATCGCCTATTTATAAGCAGTTCCAAGCGATTTTCAAGTTATTTAATAGCACGAATCTTTTCACAAAATTTTTTCTAAGCAATGTCAACAAGTGATGAAACTTAAAAATATTTCAAGTTAATTCAGAGAGTAAAGTTGTTTCAATTTCAAGTTTGAAATTCAAGCTCAATTTCCTCATTTCATTCGAAAAGCTCGTTTTTCAAAAAATAGAAAGCTTTCAAGCTAGGTTTTAACTATTTTAAAACAAAAAAAAAGAAGATCGTTGTTTTCAAATCGCTAGTCTCAGAAATGAAAATTTTCACAAAAACCCTAGGACAAAAAACGGCAGGGTGTTGTCTAGTCTCAAAGTTGAATCTTGTCTAAAGCATTGACCTGGAAAATTTTGGAAACCTTTACGGATATCAATTTATAGCCGCATCTTAACCATTGAGTCCCATGAAAACATGTCTTTTGCTTTTGCTTTATAGATAGATTTGAAAGAAAAACAGCAAAAATTAGCATTGTAACAAAAATTAGCAAGAGGTAAAAAAGCCAATCAAAATTAAATAGACTCGCGTTGAACATCTGAATTTGCACTTCTGGAACACAAGTGAGAAAATGCGAAACTTCAAAAAACAAGGAAATAAAGTGCAAAAATTAGGCTTTCAAAAACAAAAAATTCCTGAAAAAAAATAAAACCGAAAAAAAATCACGACCTATATAAGACTCTGAACTAAGTTCATCGACTCTTAATAGTATCCGTTCCTCATCAAAATATGTATTTCATATATTTCGACTGATGTTGTTACCTTGTCTCTGTCGCCACCAGCAAGCTTGTATGGGTTTCCAAAGGGCGTGCTGCCGGGCAGGGGTGGGGTTCCAACTCCCTCAGAGGGGGAACTCGGTTGTTCACGAAATCCTGGTAGTTTCCCATCGCACTGATCAAGATACTGTGCTTGTCCACTAAAATAACCAGCAGATAAAACTGAACATACGACGAGTCTAGCATATCTTTCAAAAGGTGACTTCAAAAAAAACATAATTAAGCAACAGTTTTTGTCAAGCGACGATTCGTTGTTTTTGTATGAACGAGAGCCAAGAAAAATCATCGCTTGTTGCTAATTGTCCCCCAACCACAAAAGATTGGTAAAGACAAAAAATTGATCGTTATAAATGTAGCCAATGTTCTGTTGAAGTTTTACTGAAATAAAGAAAAACACTAGATTTCTTGCTCATAATTAAAAAAAATTTTTTTTCTCTTTTAGCGCAACTTATAACCACATATGGATTCAATTGAAGTAATCCGTTAATTAGTAGAAAGCTGATTTAAAATCAAACAATGGAAGCCAAATATGCCTACAAATGCAGTTCAGTTAGCGCAGCGGAAAATTTATAACATAGCCAACAGACAGTTGGAAGAGTGAATGAACACAAGTAAACAGGAAAAACATAATGACTTGTTTTTTGAATTTCAAAGCAAAAATAGATGCCGCTAAAGCTCTTTGAAATTCTACAACAATTTATGATAAAAATTAACCCAATTTGAGAAAACTGGATAAATAATCAAAATTTATATTTCGCTGAGACATCTGGGAATTACATACCACTTTCGAAACAAGAAAACAATCACGTTTTCGTGACCGCTAGAATTTCGCTGTTAGATAGTGGAGTTTGCCTTCCTTTTAACACATTTGAACTGACTTTTAAAGAAATCAAATTTCAAACCGCGAAAAAGAAAGTTTGAGCCTGAAGAAGTTTTGAGACTTTTCCTGAAAAAAAAAAATTATCGCGACCGATATAAATCTGAGCTACGATCATCGACTCTTATACGTAAACCAAAATTCGGCGAAATATTCATACCTCAGTTAAGCAATATGCTTGTTCAAGCTGCCATTAAATAACACTTATCACTCAATGAATTAGCCACTTTAACGTTGACACGAAGTCTAGACTTGTGATCTACGAATTTACCCCAAATATTTCGGGTATTGGCACTACATTTATTGAGATGATCCATTTTAAAAGGGCGCAACTTGCCGTTTTTTGCTCCGTCCGATTTTCGAAGAAAAGTGGCAAACATTGCGTTCGTGGTGCTTTTTTCAAACTTCGAATTGTAAACTATCAATTTTTAGCGCTCAAACTTTTATACTGAGCTCAAATCTGAAACAAGACTGCTCGCACCAGGGCAAACCCTGGAAGTTTCGACTAGTTTTGAAGCCTATGGAAAATTGTCGGCTTAAAAATTGAATTGATGAAATTTTCAAATATCAACTTTTTTGAGATTTTTTTCAATTATTCTCACACGTTATTTTTAGAAGTACGAAGTTTTTGATTTCACATAAAGCAAAAGTATTAAAATAGTCCAAATAGCATGCATCAACTAAAATTAGAATAATTTCGAAGACGGATTTAATCTACGCTTACGCGTTAATATCAAGAATTATATCGCGGTTAATTGTCCCAAATTTGCCAAGTCAGCAATCTTCAAATCCCCATAACTTCAAATCCCCATAACTTTAAACCCTCATAACTTTAAGCCCTTATAACTTCACATAAACACATGTGAAAATATCTTTTAAAATTTAAATTGGAGCTCGAAAATTGCTTGTTAAAAAGTCAAAATTTGTCAGGATAAAAAAAACCACCCCCGCGCACAAAGATTCCGTCACTTTCTTCGAAAGTCAGACCAAAAAGTACGTTTCATGAAAAATGCCAGTTTGGCCAATTAAAAACTAAATTTTTAAACGACGAGTAAACTCCTTCCAACTCGAAATGAGGCAAGCACTTTGTTTATATTATTACCTTGGCACGAAATAAAATAGTCTCGTTAATATGAAAAACAAAATGACAATAAAAAAAAACGTTTTCCTATTTTTTGAACACACATCATTTTTTGTCCAAAACTTGATCATCGAGACGGGGAAAAGCTGCCAGAAACACTCCGGGCTCCGCCCCGATTCGAGCATTATTGTTCGTTTTTTAATGAGGAAGAAGATGGAATTGCTTTTATACTTGAGTGTCGCAGGAAAAAATTCGGACGCAAAAACTGGATAATGTTTGCCTAAAAACAAATATCGTCCAAAAAATCAAAATAAAAATAATCAATTCCTAGGAAAGTAGAAGAAATTTCAACCCGTCAAGCGATTGCTTGCTACCAGCTAATCAGCCACTTTCTCATTTTAAATAATGCTTTTTGTTGTGTTTTTGTAGCTTTAGATTCAGGAAGAAAATCTTAAAAATTTCACTGGGAGAGATGGTGGAGTTGATGCTAAGGCACAACTTTTCTCACAAACATGTAAATTCAAAATAACCACAGGGTAAAACATAAAGGCTGCTACTAAATGAAATTATCATAATATGTCAAAAATCAGCCATTACACCGGCATGTAAATATACAATTATGACTAAGATAAAAATGAATACATTGATACTAACATTATACAAAAAACATCCAGATGAATTATCAAAAGTATTGATTTTTGTCGTTTATATCTATAAAAAAACAAGTTCAAAGTTTATTCTGATTTAACGTTTCTCAGCTTCACGTTTAAATTGTTCGATTGATTACAAACGTTCCCCCATTCGTTTTTAGGAATATAATTTTTATTTGTTTTGTGCTTTCGTTTACTTTCACAGGTGCTGTTATAGATACATTCGCTACTAATTTCGTTTTTCTTAAACTTTTTCGCCGCGTCGAACTTTCTAGTCAAACTATTAGGGAGCAATGAATAGTTAGGCTGGTAACACCTCAGACTTGAAATGTAAATCTCGTGCATGATCATAATTTCAGCGAAGATAGCAGATTTTGATTCTCCTGTTAATTTTTCTGTTGAGTCTGTTTATTTGAGACATGGATAGAGTTTGAACAACAGCGAAGCTGATAAACAATTGAGACTAAACTATTTATCTAAAAAGCATTATTTTGTTTCTAATGAAACATTGTGGCACGCAGATTACTGATAAAAGTGCAACGGCCAATTTACTTGAATAAGTTTAACATGAAAATTAAGATTTCCGTCTACTAAAGTTCCAAAATACATCGCATGTTCTTTAGCGGAAAATATACTTATTGTCTACATAAAATTTTCCAATGTATTATCTTACCTAAGAACAACATATCTGTTTTTATTAACATTAAGGACAAGTTTGTTTTCAATTAAACATTCAAGTACTTTCTCTAGTGTTTTCAGTATGATTGTTCTTGGGTCAAAAATTGAGTGTACTGTGAATAAGATACTTGTATCATTAGCAATGGGCACTAAATTCATGTTTTTGTTGATTTTGTTGTTAAATCAGTTACATAAAGAATGAAAACCTATGGTCCCAAAACAGTACCTTGTGGTATGCCATGATTGAGTAGATCAAAGATTTTGAGTTTTACACTTTTCTTCCGGTCTCTTAAAATCTTCCAGGATTTGACGAATTATGAGAAAAACCATACTTCAATTTTATTGAAAAAAAAATCCATGATTAAGTGAATTGAAAATTTAGCGAGATGTAGAAAAAAAGTGTTTTTTTTTCCCGATTGATCCATGTTTTCACAAATTATTTCAGTAAAAGTGATAACTGCAACTGTCGCAGATGTGTTCTCCTACAATCCGAATGTGTAGATGATTGAAAGCGAAGTTCGCTTGAGAAATTTCATAATTTGTTTCGAAAGCTAGCAATCGAAAATTCATTGGCCTGTAGTTTGATGCAACCTGTGTTTTACTGTTTTTGAACAAAAGTTATATATGCTTCTTTCAATGCGAAATTTACGAGCGTTCCGATAGCAAGTTTTCCTTGTTGGTGGCAGAAAGCTAGTATTCCCATAGAGAATTTTTAAACGGTAATTTATCTATTAGCACGTAAATTTCTTTTCTTGTGGCGCAGCGAAAGTTGAACACTGCACATTAACTTTCTTTTGGCTTTTATGGTATACAATCAACACTAAAAAGTCCTAATGTTGAAACGAAATGATTCATATGATATGCTGTTTCAGTAGCAACATTTGACTTTTGCTATTTTTTAAATCAATTTTGGTTATTATTATGAATTTATTTTACCTTTTCCCTAGTTTTTTTGTTTAGAAAATCCCATTATTCTACACTGTTGGAAAGCTACGGAAAGATTTCGAGGTGAGAATTTTTTAATGCAATTGCTAATTCTCGGTTGACCAAAATTCTTAACTTTTTGATTCTCTGTGCGCTACCTCACAACCAGTGTTTTTCCATATATTGAAATAACTCAATTGATATTTAAGCAAATTCACAGAGGCTTTATCAACCCATGTTTTTTGTTAGTGATTTTCAGTTTCTGATGCACAGTTTTTGTGCGATATGGAGCATGCGCACTTATAAATATTTCAACAATAAGCCCAAAAAGGATGTTACATACATTTCTGACTGATCATAAGGTGCAGAAAATGCTGAAGAAACACCTCTCCATAACTTTTTACGATTAAAATGGTGAAAATTCTGAAGCGCTTGCTTCAAAAATGGAAGTTTATACTTGGAGACGGCAATACAAATTTTTTAAGCAAGACGAGTCATCTAAAACTTCATGACTTTGCTGCCCATTGTGGGTTAATTATACCATTATCTCAAAACCATCGCTTGTACGGATAAAAATATCTCACTCATCAACCATTGCTGAGTTTAAAACAACCAATTATTTTATGTTGGTTGTTACGACTTGCCTTTTATGAGAGACCAAAATATAATTCATGAAAATTAAATTTCTTGCAAGTTAAAAACAGACATCACTCAAATTGATAAAAAAAGATATCCATAATTTTAATCAGGGTAAACTCAACTATTTTTTGTCTCAGTTTGACTGATATCAAGTTTTGGCTGACAAGAAAATATTGTTACATAAAACATATAGTAGTCTAAGTTAAATAGCAATTCGTATGAACTAACATAACTTATTTGTTCTCATTACGGGGGACTGCCCAGTTGGTCTCATTGCATACGAGATCAAAACAACTCTAAAATCAACATATTCAATGATGCTTGGAAAAAATTTGTTTGGAAATGGATGGCAGATTTCAGTGGTACATAGTTGAGTGTGTAAAAACTAGTCTCACAATTGTTAATATTTGTGGTTAGCAATACTAATAATCCAAAAGCATCGCGTGTAAGGTATAATAAAATCTCACGTATCGACCTTTGTTGAATTTCAAAAAACAAAATAAGTTATCTTAGTTCATACGAACTGCCTTTCAACTTAGACTACTATATGTTTTGAAACTCAGCAAGGTCGATAAGTGAGATATTATTATCCCTTACACGCGATGCTTTTGAAATAGTGGTATTGTTAACCACAAATATTAACAATTATGAGACTAGTTTTTACACACTCAACTATATACCACAGAAATCTACCATCCATTTCCAAACAAATATTTTCCAAGCATCATTGAATATGTTGATTTTCGAGTTATTTTGATCTCAAATGCAATGAGACCAACTGCGCAGTCCCCCGTAATGACCATGTGCGCAAAAACACCTAAACACAACAAAACACTTTTTCCAATGCGAGGAGTTGTTTGATTTGTAAGTAGCATGCAACCAATTGAAGACTGGAGTTATTCATGTCGAAACTTGAAAAGGAAAAAAAGACTACGGGAGTCAAATGAAGACACCCTGATCAAGAGTCTCATGTCTTAACCATTTCATTTAGCCATACGACTTGATCAAAGCTCTTTTAACGCATGTGCTATTTACTTTTGATACCAGGCAGCAAAAAAATGAGCTTTAAAAAAGCTGATATAGCTAGACCATATGCTATACAATGATTTACGCATAAACTTTGCACTTAAATGTTCGACTTGCTCTGGGAAAAAGTTTCTGATTGTATAATACTACGCTCGCAAGCTTGCTTGTTTATTAAGCTCAATATCATGTTTTCAGACAATACTGGCGACCATATACAGTGTTTAAGCAACCAAAAATTACAAACACCCGAATTTTCACCCTGAACTGTCAACATTACATAACATGGATTAAGTGTTGATGAACAAGAAAACCGAAAACCACAGAGTTTCAAGAAGAACACTTGTTTTTCTGAAATTATATTGTAGTAAAGCTCATGCAATATCATGAAAACTTAATCTAAATTTTTTTTCTAATGAGCAGATTAGAGAAAATCCCCTGTTGAAACTAAAACTCAAGCGCCATTTCCGTTTTTGTTATTGAAGAGCGTCTCCGTAGATAAGAAACTTCAAAAAGAAGAAAGAAATCAAAGTGAAAGGTCAAAACAAAAGTTTTAAAACACCTCTAACCCAAGAAAGAGAGATTGAACAAACTTACATATTCTTAGACATAAAACTTATCGCTGAACTTTATGTCTGAGGATAAACATGTGAAACTTTTGGTAAAAAAAGTATCGTCTTTAGTTTCACTGACCAACTTCAATAAAGTGTCGTTTTCTATTCATTGTTTACATTATACTTATGGGTATATTATGTAGCTAATTACTAACCCATGTCATAGAAGGGTTTGCCCCAGAAGGAGAGGTTGCTGAAATTGTTCCTCATTTTCGTCACTTGGTCCACCAGTGAAGCTCGCTTGGTGTCAAAAGGATTCCTACAAAATGTTCACACTGACCTTACTGCATAGCCTACATTGCGTGAAAAACAGTAACAAGCACAAAAGTAAATCATTTTGCAGCCATTAAATGAAGCTATGCGAATAGCTGCAACGTATGCGCTTCTCATTTTTTGTATAACCTTAACTCAAAAAACGATTGTGGAAGCTCTAGCTAGAACAAATGCTCAAACATTTTCATAGCAAAAATTTATTTTTTTCCCACGACTTTTCATGTATTTAAAAAGCACATGAAAATGCATGATATGCATTCAGTTTTTAATTTTCTCTTTGACAAAATAGAAGCAGTAAAACTAAGATAAAAACTCGGAGGGAAAAAGAATTCAAAGCCTAAACAAGACGAAAAATTTTTCGCAAAAGGAAAGACGAAAAATAAGCTTTTGTTTGTCTCTCTTGAAATCATTCTATAACTTATACACTTTCAAATTGAAAGACTCAATAAATCAATTCTCAAAAGTTCAGGTGTATAGAAACTCTTCGGGAGTAGAACAAAATTTCTTCAAAAAAATGGTAACTAAATGAGAAGTACAAGGTTCGCTAAGTACCAAATAGCATAAACCGTCATGGGACATAAGACATTTTTTCTGAGTTTTTGACAGTTACCTACCGTTTATCAAGAGTCGACGTGAAGTACACGAATACTAGAGTAAAATTGCAGGCGGAATAAGATTTACACATTGCATGTCAGAATTGAATCGTTTACTCATTGGTTTTGAGAAAGTTGCATTCCGTGAGTGGAGGATATGAATGAAGTCCTTCATTTTCTTTTGGGTGAAAATTTCATCGTTCCATTATACCAAAAATCGAGATAAAAACGCAGTCCAGACAAACGGCAGGAGGGAGAGGAAGATTTAGTCATTTTGAAATTCGGGTCTTCTCTATTGTTTCTTACAGACTTAATACAGACTATACTGTCTGAAACAGACTAGTACCTCAACAGGTTAGAGAAAGACCAATATAGATGCTCGCTTTACAAAAACTTCCACAAACTTAACACAGAAGCTAATCAGAGCTTCGCACCACTTGAGATACACAACTAGCCGACAAAAATGAGACAAAAGCCGCACGAGTAATAAAAACGTTTAAACTACTAGATCTACTAAAAAAATTGGTCTAGAAGAAAAATCATTTTGAGGAAATCATTACACGAAAGATAATTGCCAGTGCTAAAGAAGCATCGCAACAAAAATCACGCAGCGGTAACTAGGCCGATAAAATTTCGGTCGACGCTTGAGACAAAAACATAGTTCAAATACTTGAAACAATTTGGAACTTGAAGTTTTCAAGCCCTCCTCCACAGACACGCCAACAAACGTCTTCACCCGTCGAATGAAGCAATATAAGGCGACTAAGTCAAAATGATATAGGCCGAAACCTTTTACACCAAAACATAGCCTACAGTCAGTTGAAAAAGACTCAATGAACGCGAACTTAAGAGTGAACGCAAATTTCAAATGAACGCAAATTTCAAAGAACAAAAAAATGAATGCCCTTATGAGTTTTTGTAACAATTTGTTTTTTGGCACATTTTCGATAAAATTAAACCAATTTGAAAAAAAAACTGGATCAGAGTAAGTAACGTTTTTATTTCGCTGGAAAATCTGAAAATTAAATACTACTTTCGAAACTAGAAAACGATCACGTTTTTCGTGACTTTTACACTTTCGCTGTTCGAAAGCGAGTTTGTTTTCCTTTTAATGGAACTTAAAAAGAAAACGAAAGTCAAATCGCGAAAAAATTAATTTGAACCTGAACAAACTGTATGACTTGTCCTGGAAAAAAATCATCGCGACCTATACAAGAGTCTGAAATATGTTCATCGACTCTTAAACACAAACTAAAATTCGCTAAAAATATTCATGCCTCAATTAAACAATATGCTTGTTCAAGCTGCCACTTAAGAAAACGGGGCGTTCAGCAGTGCCGAAAATGAAAAAGCGTTCAACAGTGCCGAAAACTGATGGTTTTCGGCAATGTTGAACAAAAGTTTTAGTATCGGCACTCGCAACACCACAGTTTCGAGGTACAACAGTGCCGAAAACGAGCTTATTGTTCAACAGTTCCGAAAATCATCTATTTTCGGCACTGTTGAACACTTTTTCATTTTTGGCACTGTTCTACTGCTTCAAGAAAACTTCTCACTCACTTAATTAGCCATTTGAATGCAGACACGAAGTGTACACTTGTATTCTAGTAATTTACCCAAAATATTTCTAATATTGATACCACATTCATAGAGATGACGAATTTTAATGAGGCGCAACTTGCCGTATTTTGTGCACATTTTCGAAGCTAGTGGCAAAAAATTAGTTCGTGATTCTTATTTCTCCGAAGATTTAAATATCCATTTATAAAGGAACGTTTTATAACAAGTGATAAAGATATATTGATGTACAGAACTCAAAACTGAAACAACACTGCTCGTATCAGGGCAAATTCAAGATTCTGCGTGTTTTAGTTATTTATATGCCACTGACTAAACTCATTCACGTTTATGTAAATTTTCACGCTTCAAGATATCAACTATATTTCAAAGGAAAACAGTTACCCTTTGAAAGCGTAGAAATTATAAAGTTATTATGTCCGCAGCCAGCTTAGTTTTTAGTTTTCACCAGATATTTTCAGCAAATAGTTTTCACCAAATATTTTAGTTTTCACCTATTTTCCGACTTTGGTTCTATTTTACTTCTTTCCTTTTGGGTCGGCTTAATAAAAACGGCCAACAAATTTTCAAATATTTCCTGAACAGTCAACCTAAATAGCATACTTGTAGCGGTGTTTCTTAGTGTAGCATTAACCTGAACATGTCTGGTTTGAACTTTGGGTCTAAGTTCGGAATGGTGAATCCTGCGAACGCGTGTGGCTCCAGGGGCGTCATGGCCATGGGGGTGGAGCTGTCCATACTTGTTTTGGCCATACCCCCCTTGCCTTGCCCGTTGTTACTAGTGGGGGTCTCCCCGGTGAGAGAAGAAATGAGCTGGTGGAAATTAGATTGACTCTTCGCTAGACTCACATCAGCAGCAGAACTAAAACCATTTACATTTAATTTACTAACATAATTAAATTAAAAATATATTAAATATAGTCAAAAGGCGGCTAGAAAAGTTTGATCTTCAGAAAGCAAAAATAATGATAAATTTCATTTTGTATTTTTCAACTTGCGAAATTAATATATCAGCTAATTTTCAATTTTTTCAAATTTCTTTAAAATTTTTTTTATCTTTTGCAAGGAATTCTAAAAAAAACTAAATGCATGTTCGAAACTGAAAGTCAATCACAATTTCCAAACTTTCCCGCAATTTCTGATACTTTGACAGACTGGTGCTTCACAATCTGGATATGTCAACTGTGTTAATTAAACTGAATTAATGAGCTCACTGCGGCATGACATTGACGGGCGGGTTGTGTGGCAGTCTGTCTTGTCTTCCGAGCAGTGCCGCTATTCTGTCACTCTCCTGCTTCGACAGCTGGCTCAGACTCTTCAGATAATTGGCAATGTTGTGGCTCTGGTAGTAGTCCAGTGACTCTGGCACCAAATGGCCCGCTCCCAGCTTCTTCAGCGCCTCACGCATCGGCTAGCAAGATCAAACATACATTTTCAATCATCTTTTCGAGGTCAAGAACCTCTCAGTGGATCATTTGATCCCGCAGCTTGCCCTTCTCAAGTCTCTTGCAAAAGTAAATTAATGATACCTAATGTGATGCTTGTAATTATTTGCTTTCGTTTTCAACTAGCATCAAGACTGTCGGTTGCGGCGCAAGTCGCACAATTTCAAGTAGCTTAAGTAGAACTGTGTTTAGAAAAAATGTTAAGATATATCTTTAGGAGCTTCCAACACAATGCTCAACTATTCGCTTGTATTGAATAATAATAATAATGTAAGTAATCGGGTTCACTCAGAGTTGGCTTTGAACGATATGTTTTTTGTTTGAAAATTCTGCGCGGAACACTAGGCGTTCTGTCCGCAGAATTTTGAAAGTTCGTTTTTCGAAATCTTGAAAACTTTCTTTGAGATTTAGCGGTGGTCACCTTTAAAATCTTTTAAAGCAAAACGGACTTCTATCTGAACACTCGGATTCCTTAACTGAAAAACAGAATTTAAAATTGTTAATTTAAATTTTTAATTAACAATGAACCCACGCAAAACACTTAACGACGCTGTCTTCGAAGGCATCGACGGTCCAAAAATGGTGTAAAACAGGTGTAAATGGTGTAAATTCTGCTGTGTAAAACAGCAGAACTTTCAGTGCAAAGAACAAGGAAATTTTTTAAAAAAAGTTGATTGAACACTCTGAACAATTTTCAAAAAAAATATATTGTTGAATCTCTTTCAGTTTCGAAATGAGCCTCTTTTTTCAACTTTCGCAGAAAAAAATACATAAGGTATAAAAATTTCAGTTTTCAAGAATTGTTATGATTGACACAAATTTTTTATGGCTTTTCTATTAGGAGAAAATTAGATCAATAGGTAACTTTTTTACTTCGCTATAAAATACGAATAGTTTTTGGTTAATGAAACCTTAACAACCGAGAAATGTTAAGCTGATAATATCAATTTTAAAGAGTTAAAAATTGAGTCCCTTATGGAATTATTAAGACATATTAGCTTGCCTCAAGCCAAATTGGAACGATTAAGTGATGCGGGAATTGGCTTTACACGATGTTTTTTGCTTGAAAATTCTGCGCGGAACACTAGGCGTTCTTTACGCAGAATTTTGAAAGTTCGTTTTTGTAGAGGCAATCTTGAAAACTTTCTTTGAGATTTAGCGGTGGTCACCTTTAAAATCTTCTAAAGCAAAACGGAGTTCTATCTGAAGACTCGGATTCCTTAACTGAAAAACAGAATAAAAACAAGCTATCGCGATGTCAAAGACAGTTACATACGCAACAACAGTGAACTAACTTTTTTTTTTAAATGATTGCTAATTAACAATGAACCCAAGCAAAACACTTAACGATGCTGTCTTTGAAAGCTCCGACGGTCCGAAAACGGTGTAAAACAGCAGAACTTTCAGTTTAAAACCACCGAACTTTCAAGTTACTAAATTCTGCGTAATAATGAATTTATGTTTTTTTATCTCGCTCAATTTTGGATTTGTGCTAATATCACTCCTCTGATAGCTACAAATCACGATTGAGCAAAAACGTCTCTTCACACTTTGGTGTTGAGAAAAACTTACAGAAAAATTTTCATATGCTTGTTATTTGTTCAACCAGGCAAACCGTGTCGAAATTCCCTTCAACTCAGTTTCTTTCCATGTAGGTGCTGACAGCTAAGTGAAAATTTGCCTGGCTGTGCTCAATCAAATGATGGTTCTCTTGAGTCCTTTGTTCCGACGAAAAAAGTATGAAAAGAAGTAAGAAAAAACAATTGTTTCCCTCCTACGAAATAATGAAAAAAGAGAATAAAAAATATAGGACAAACTGTAAACAGAACATAAGTCCCGTTGTCTGTCTCATCAGAGTTTTTTTCATACATTAAGGTGCTATTAAAAAGTTGGCTGTTATTTTCTGTTAAAATTTTTGACTTTAAAAAGATCTGGAGAAATCTATTTCGTTTTTTTTTTTCTCATAAAATCTCGATAAAAATTGAATCCACTCAAAGCATACTTTTTCTCGACTCTTTGAATAATTATTTATAATAAAATAAACAAAAATTTTCTGCTCTTAATAATGACTAGACTTTCATTTCTTTTTCAGGAAATAACAAATTGGCGAAGCTAAGTAGCAACCAAATTGAAGTACATGAATTGGCCTCCCAATTGAGACTGCTTCGCAAAAATTCAGACCACGTATCAACACTGAATATACAGCGACAACTTGCAAGCATAGCCGACAGACAGATGAAAAAGTGCAAAGAACAAGGAAATTTTAAAAAAGTTGACTGAACACTCTGAACAATTTTCAAAAAATATATATTATGTTGTATCTCTTTCAGTTTCGAATTTAGCCTCTTTTTTCAAGAATTGTTATTATTGACACAAATTTTTTATAGCTTTTCCATTAGGAGAAAACAAGATCAATAGGTAACATTTTACTTCGCTATAAAATACGAATAATTTTTGGTTAATGAAACCTTAACAACCGAGAAAAGTTAAGCTGATAATATCAATTTTAAAGCATGCCTCTGTTAAGACATATTAGCTTGCCTGGAACGATTACTTAATCCTGGAAAATTCGCCCCGCACAAAAAGTGCGCGTTACACTTGCAGCATCAAGGTAAAAACCGAGGAGTTTAGGTAAACTCATTTCATTGCGACCGTAAACTCAGGTATATGGTGGCGAGCGCGACCTTTCTGAGAATAAGAAGATCAAGAGATCGATCCCCCAAGACCAACCACTTTGAAAATTGATCTGAAGAAAAAAAAACTAACCCGAGCCTATCTATTCCTTAGTTTCTTCAAAAATCTGCACAACAAGACTATTAAAATGAGGCTGAATTTTTCGATAGCCCATTAAAGCCCAGGGAAAAAGTTAATAATTTCAAGAAAATCAAAAACTGCTAAAAAACATAGCCAATAGACAGTTCGAAAGGAGTCAAAGACCGCAATAAAAACTGACTTGTTTTTTGAAATTTCATTTTCCGAAATTCAAAGAAAAAAATGGATGTACTTTAAGCTCTTTTGAACTTCTTTCTACAGCAATTTATGATTGACATTTTTTCGATAAATGTAACCCAATTTGAAAAAACTAGATTCAAAAGTTAAATTTTAATTTCACTGGGAAATCTGAAAATTAAATTCTATTTTTGAAGCTTGACTCCCCTCCACAAGTCAAACTTTAGTCTTATACTGATGATTTCACCCTTCGTCCAATCACTCGACATAAAACATGCCTCTGTTACTTATAAGAATTATCTAAACACAGTCCACGACTTCAAATTTATTGATAATAGAATGCTTGATTTTTTCCTCTACAAAATGCTCTGTAAGTCTTTTTACTTCGCAGAGTTTTACTCTGACCCCAAAGTTACAATTTGTGAAACATTTGCCATTCGTAAAGCACCCCAAAATTTTTGGTGTCTTTGAACCATCCCTTAAATTTGTCGAGCTTCGCACGCATCATGCGCTCTGCAGATAGTGACTGGGTGTACAAAGATTAGCCCCATTGACCACCTATATTCAGAACGCAAACTACTTAATGACAAAAAAAGACTACAAACTCATTGTCTCCCAATTCGTCCGTAAGACCTACTTGCCAATAAGCCCCCTCCATTTTTAGCATACTCACCCTCGACCACCCCACCAGCAATGTGTGAATATCTTAAGCTTTTATAAAAAGCAACTTGAACAAATTTAATAAAAAGCAAACAAGAGTAACATTTTAAACGATTTTAATCACCTAAGCACAATTATAAACAGAAGTTTTTATACACTTACGAAGAATATTCACAACAAGCGAGTGCAGAAAGCCGTAGACAAAGGCACCCCTCCCCCCCCCCCTCCGCTCTAAGTTCTCCCCTTAAGACCTCCAGAAGTTTCAAAATCTGAAAAACCATTCTACGCTTAACTGGGCGCACCATCCAAATAAAATCAGGATACAGACCCTAATTTTTTTAATGAATAGGATAGAAAGAAATGTCTCTCCATACTGTCCCTTCTGACCTGCTCTCCGCAATGCTTGTTCCTCGAACTCGGCGAGGGCATGCCGGACGCGCCCCAAACAACGGGCTTATAACAACAACAAAGCTTCGCGAAAATCTATTAAGCCCAAGAGGCACATTTTGTTTCTTCGCACTAACGACAATTATATTAAGCATTATATTAAGCATATTTATTTTCATTTTTTTCTTTATTTTTAAATTTTCATGAAGGTTTTTTATATCTTAAATCAAGAGACAAGCTTAGGGGCAAACGGAGCATTCTCTTTATTTTATCTGAATTTTTATCAGAAAATGATGAGGAAATTAAGTAATGCACTGGATAAATTTAGAATCATTAAGATAGGAAAACTAGAAAAAAACTCCTTTTTAGGACCCATGTCCTTCATAATCCACACAACTGATAAACCTGATGAGTGTTACATTTGGTCTATCCGCCGAAACTGACGAGGATTTATAGACTCAAGACTTAAACACTCTTAAGTCTTCATTTATAGAATTAAGCATGAAAGATCGACAATTAACCGAAACTGACTGATCCTATTTACTAAGTGTTTTTGGCTGAGATGCTATTTTTCATTTACTTGAATAGCGCAACGTTCCCTGCTTACAAATAGAAGAGGGTTTCAACAGCCAAGTCCGCAAAACAACTTGTTTTTTTTTCCGATTCCGAAAACCATATGCACTTAAAGCTCTTTGAATTTCTATTACAATTTATGACTGACACTTTTTTGATAAAATCAACCCAATTTGAGAAATTTGGATAAACCTTTATTTCGCTGGAAAATCTGATAAATTAATTCCATTTTCGAAGTTAGAAGTGAATCAAGATTTTCGTGACCTGTACACTTTCGCTGCTCGATAGTGGAACTTGCTTCCCTTTAATAAAGAAAATGAACTTTAAAAAATTCAAAACTCAAACCGGGAAAAATAAAATTTGAGCCTGAACAAACTTTAAGACTTTTAAAAAAGGAAACAAAATAATCGCGACCTATATAAGAGTCTGAACTAAGTTCATCGACTCTTGGCGTGAAAACAATCTTTCGTGAAAACTTAAACCAAAACATTGAACAGGAAATTGAAGCGGAGTTTCAAGCCATTTGGAATTCAATACCAAAAAAAACCTGGCAGGGGCTAGCACGCAAAGAATGACACAAAAGCTATCAAATCAGAAAAAAAAACGAATATAAAAAACTAAATCCACCAAAAAATTCATGGTCAAATGAATTTCATTAGTGGGCGGATTTCTGAAACATCAGAACAATCAAACTGCTAAATGCTTTCCTCTACTGAAACTTTCGAAGGCCGTAGGACGTGAGGTCAAATGAAAAGAGACTAGCGAAATATGCAGACACAAAGAAGGGCAGCCGGTTTTTCCATTGATATCTTATTTTTTGAAAACTGACACAGTAGTTGTTTTTGAGAAAAAAATTTAAATTTTTGCGAAAAGTGCAAAAAAAATTCCAAAGCGTCGCAAAAACAAAACCGATAGATTTTCATGATAACCTTTTTTTAAACAGGACATAACACTAGCCAAAACTGAAGCAGCAACATATGCTTCTAAATTGCTTATGCTTAATTAGGCTTAACTATGATTAAATTGAAACATACCAAAACGCCACCAAATGAGCACTTTTATTTGTGACTTGGGTTAAGAAAATTCTTCGTAATAATACTTTAAGCTTCTCTTGTTCAAATAAAATAAATGTAGAAAACTCAAAAGAGATCAATAAACAAACAGCGAAAAAGTAAATTTGAGCCAGAACAAATTTTGGGGATTTTCCTGAAAAAATGGGGAAAAAATCATCGCGACCTACATAAGAGTCTGAACTACGTTCATTGACTCTATGATAATGCTATGCGCCGGAATCGAACCTCTGATCTTGAGACTAGAAGTCACACGTCCTAGCATTTGCGCCCTGGTCACTGTACAATCTTCAAACCCTAGCTGCCAATAAACCAAATACAGAGATATAACGCTATCGCAGCAAAACTAAACCGAATAAAAACCTAATACAGTAAAAGTAAGTATAAGGTTTCTACGATGTTATTTCGGCAAAAACACACGATGTTATTCAGCAAAAACACGATGTTATTTCAGCAATTATACGATGTTATCGTATTTACGATGTTATTTCATTCAATTTTATTTCAGCAAACATCGTATTTCGATGTTATTTCAGCAAAAAAAACAACGAAAAAACATAATCCGAGACCATTTAAGCTTTAAAAAATCTTTAGTGAACTATAAAGAAAAACTGAAAATATATAAATGGAATTGGTAAAATTACAATTTTTAGAATTAATTCAAAGACGCTTTCAATTTTAATAAGAACTAGCGTGTAACGCACTTCCAGTACTTCGAAATTTAACAAATGATAAAAAACTGCATGTATTGGAAATAAGATCTGCATCCTTTGAGTGTACTCTGACAGCACCCATATCCAGGGTTGGCAATTTCAAATTTTATAAAAAATTGTTTTTTTTTTTACTTCAAATTTTAATAAGACATAAAATCTGCGAAATTTATGGTTTTTTCAAAATATAAACTCCTGGAAGTACCCTTAAAGAGCCCCACTATAAAGATGTGAACATCAAATTCTGTGAACATAAAATCTAAGTTCTTTGAGCAATTAAAAAGAAACATAAAAACGTCACATCTCGAAAACTAAAAGCATTTAAGCAGTCCCATTTAGACGCAAGATTTGCAACTTGGAAACCTTAACAGCATCCTCGCAGTACTTAAATACAGGGCTATGAATTTAAAATTATTTAAAAATAGCTTAAACTTAAGTTCTCGGAAAATTTTTTAAAATAAATCACAAAAAACACCATATCTCGAAAACTAAAAAAAATTTGAGCAGCTATATTTGGTGGCAAAACTTGCAGCTACTACGAGAACCCTGACAGAGCCTCACTATAGAGATATGACTTTCAAATTTTGTGACTTTTTTATATTTAATTAATTTCTTTGAACAATTTTAAAAAAGCGTAAAAACCGTCACATCTCGGAAAGTAAAAGCATTTGAGCAGTCGCATTTGGACGCAAAATTGGCAAGTTGTAACTCTTAAGAGCACCCTCACAGTACTTAACTACAGAAATTGGCATTTCAAATTATTTTTAAAAAGTTAAAACTTAAGTTCTCGGAAAATTTTTTGAAAAAATCATAAGCGCCATATCTCGAAAACTGAAAAATTTGAGCAATCATATTTGGAGGTAAAACTCGCAACTACTGGGAGTACCCTGACATAGCCTCACTATCGAGATGTGATCTTCAAACTTTGTGAAATTTCTATATCTAATTTCTTTGACCAATTTAGAAAAAAAAACATAAAAAACGTCAAATCTCGGACACTAAAATCATTTGAGCAGTCGCACTTGAACGCAAGATTTGCAACTTGGAACTCGTAAGAGCGCCCTCACAGTACTTAACAACAGGGATAGGAACAACCAAGACTTGAGCAGTCATATTTGAAGGCAAGATTGTGATCTTCAAATTTTTTGAATTTTCTATAACTAATTTCATTGAACATTTTGAAAAAAAAAAGGAAGATTTGCAACTTGGAACTTGTGAGAGCACAGAAGCAGTACCCAATTCCATGGTTGAGAATTTCAAATCTGATGAATTCTTAAAATCTAAGTTTTCATAAAAATTAAAAAGAAATCATAAAACACTTCATATCTCGAAAACTACAAAGATTTGAGCAGTCATGTTTCAAGGCAAGAGTTGCAATTCTTGAAAGTACCCTGACAGCACTCAACTACAGGGTTGAGAAATTCAACGTTTGTGATTATTTTTGATATTAAATTTTCTGAACATTTTTGAAAAAATCAAAAAAAAATCATCGTATCTCGTAAACCAAAAAGATTTCGGTGTTCAAAATTGGAGGCCATATTCGCAACCCCTGGGAGAACCCTGATAACATCCTACTACTGGAATGCTTATTTCAAAGTTGATGAAATAATCCTTGAAATCAAATTGGAAAATCAAAAAAAAATCATAACCATTGCAATATACGATATCGCTTAAACGTGAAAAAATTCTTTCATTGAACATTCAAAAAATTACGTTGAAAAAGCTTAAACACGGCGAGATAGTGAAGCCCACATTTAAATATAAAATAGGTTGCTTAACTAACAAAAAGTCCATCCTTAACTAACAATAAAAAAAATCTATTCGCAAAAAATACAGCTACTCGGATCTTTCCAGCCCTCCGCATGAGCGTAACCGCAAAATAAGTAGCTGGAACTTGATTTGCTAAAAAAGTAAGCTGACGAATAACGTAAGTAAAGTTTCCATGGAGAAAAAGTGAAGTTCCCGGTTGCAATTCCCGTAAAAAATCATCAACACAAAATTTATGCAGCTTTTAAAATTGCTGCTGATATTTCCGTCTTCAAATCTATAACTGAAGTTATGAGAACATGAAGCAGATATCTACCAAGAATTTTGCAAAAAAAAACGAAATATTGTTTTTCTATATTCTTTCATCTGTCAGAAGTCCCATTAGTCGCAAAAATAGAGCTAGACTCAATGTTCATAAATTATGCTCCGACATTCATCATTTCGTTCAGATATGGTACTTTTACAGGCAAAAAAACTGTCTGAATTCTGATTGAGAAAAAATTAGAAATACACATAGCGATCAGTAGTAAAAGTAAAGGTGGCAACTTATTCTGAACGCTGGGCGCGAGGGTTTCAAACTGTTATCGAGCATGTTTGATTGTTTTGATAGCTTCCCCATTTGATAGTATCACTCATTAAATTGCTTTCTATATCATGAAGAGTGCATACTAATTTAAACTGTTGGACTCGACAGTTTCAGATAATGCAGCAGAGTACATACCACTGCGTAGTAGAGGGGAATGCAGCTGATGTATTGGTCAAATCTCTTACACCACTCGGTGGGGGGCTTGGCCTTGTGCACCCTGACCAGTTCGGTCAGCAGGGGAAACAAAACTGGGTAGTTGTAGGGCAGTACATACAGATTCACTTTGCGCAGTCCGTGCGGATGCGCGCGCACATATCCGAAGGGCGAGCCCAGACCATGTTCGCCAGGACCGCTCTTCGCGATGAACACCTGAAAGTGAGAGGATTCTTAGAACAGTCATGCGCCTCACATTCTTGAATTTTGAAGTTGCTTGGGATGAGAAAACACTCAACAACCTATGTTTGTATATCATCCAATGGGACTGTTACAATAATTCTTCAAAAAGACGAAAAAAACTTGCTATTATCCAAAAAAAATCCAGTTTCCGTGTCTCAAAAAATTTGCCAACATTTTTTTATTATCGGTTATGGGTTTCAACTTCAATTAGCACAGTCGAAATTTGGAACACATTAAAAAACTATGGCATATATTGTCGGCAGGGCGAGGATTGCAAAGGGGTGATTTTTGCTAAAGGGAACAAAATTCTGATACGCTGAAACAATGAATTGTCCCTTTAAAGAGGATACGTTTGGGAGGGGGGATCGGATATTTTAATAGGCAAACTAGGAAGGCATTCAAAAACCCCAGAGCAACACTTCTCAACAGAAGCTAAAAGACTTTTCGCATTACTTGCGATATAACACAAAAAAAACATTATCAAAAGAAAATGAAAAATGTTGAAAAAACAAGGTGAACCAAAACTTTTGTCTTGATAAAAATAAAACTAAATGATCAGCTAAAGCGCAGCAAAATAGATAAAACTATTATGTGTGGCGTTTTGTTCATAAAATAACCCAATAAGAGAGAGCTGGATCAATAGGCAATTACTTTAGTCGGCTAGGAAATCTGAAATACAAAAACTAATTTTGAAACTATAAGCCGTTCGCGTTTTTTCACACCATTTGAACTTTTGTTACAGGAAAGAGCAATTTTATTGTGTAGAAATTGAAACCAAATTAAATGAACAATGAAATGAAAACAGCAAAAGAAAAGAAAGATGTTATTTGTGCTCCGAATTTTGTCAAAAATTCTAAATTAAAAAAGACTGCTTTTTGCTTCAAAAGTTGATAACTTTATTTTTTCAAATCTAAAAGTCAAAAGAAAATGAAAAATGTTGAAAAAACAAGGTGAACCAAAACTTTTGTCTTGATAAAAATAAAACTAAATGATCAGCTAAAGCGCAGCAAAATAGATAAAACTATTATGTGTGGCGTTTTGTTCATAAAATTCTAAATTAAAAAAGACTGCTTTTTGCTTCAAAAGTTGATAACTTTATTTTTTCAAATCTAAAAGTCAAAAGAAAATGAAAAATGTTGAAAAAACAAGGTGAACCAAAACTTTTGTCTTGATAAAAATAAAACTAAATGATCAGCTAAAGCGCAGCAAAATAGATAAAAAGAAAGATGTTATTTGTGCTCCGAATTTTGTCAAAAATTCTAAATTAAAAAAGACTGCTTTTTGCTTCAAAAGTTGATAACTTTATTTTTTCAAATCTTCACCCCACAGCCAATGTATAGTAAGAAGTGATATAATTTGCTTAAACCAACAAACTGCATTTATGTGGTTCAACTACCTAATCCCAATTAATTTTTAGAACACAACAAGACGACACAAACATAGAACATACACATAATGCAACACACTAACTTGCGATACAACACAAATGTTACTTGAGTAAATAAATGAAATATAATAAAACAAAATCGGAAAATCGGCAGACAAAAAAGCTCGAAATTTTTTTGAAAAAAAATGAACAAGCTTATCGACCAAAAAATCATATCTGTGTCTTGATTTTGTCCTTAAGAAAAACACACCAAGTAGCATAATTCAATCTTAAATTAGCATCGAATCGAAACAGCACGTACAAGTTGGCAACAAAACCATCAAATCTTGAGCAGAAACTAAACTGAGCCGAAAAAAATGAGACCGCTAAGCCGATATAATCTAAGCCGAATTAAAAGAAAAAAATCAAAACGAAAAAAACTGATAATCTGATAGAATTTATTTTCATTTAAATCACAGAGGCGAAGCGGAGCAGAGACGATACAACGCAATCATAAAAAAAGACATATCGAAAAAAAACGTTGAAGAACTAGGTGAACCAAAATTATCGTATGTCTCAATGAATGACGCCTAGGGCCCAGCTGAAACTGGAGGTACGTTCGTACGTTTTTGATATTTTTTGAATTTGTTACATTGATGCAAGAAAACGTTATTTAAAAAAATAGACTTTCCCAAAACCTTAGTTGTTTCTCTACAAAAAAAATAAGTGACAAGTGAAAATTTTGAGATTTTGGAATTTTCCCAAAGACATAACATTTCTCTTAAAACATTAAGGAGTATTCGCTTTTTCAGAAAAATTCGCGCAACTATTTCTTTCGAATGAACTCTTCATCTCAGATTTGATAGGGTAGTTTCCAAAAGTTTCAAAAAAACTAGTCAAAAACTAGTTTTTCCGAAATCCAAAGCATTTTTTTGCAAAAAGTAAGTCGTAACCGATTAGGCAGAAAAAATTTCTGAAACCGGGTTTTCGATTGAACAAGTACTCTAAGCATTGGCAGGGTAGCTTCCGAGAAAAGTCAAAAAGCTGCCAAAAAACGGTCATAACTTTTTTGAAGGCCATAACTTTTTCTAACAAGATTGGTATTAGCCGCTTTGACAGCTAGATTTTCAGAAACCTGTTGATTGGATTAAACTCTTGATACGAGAATTGGTAGAACAGTTATTGAAAAAAGTCTAACGGTCAACAACTTGACTTTTCCAAGAACCAGAGCTTTTTGAGTAAAAAACTGGAGCGTCGCCGCTTGTGCAGAAGAGATTCACACAACCTGTTATTCCGATTGAACTAAGATTAGGGAGCAGAAAGTCTCCGATTTTGAAAGGTTATTTTCGAGAAACAAAATAATACAAAAATTGACTTTTCCGAGGGCCATAAATTTCCAGGTAGAAAAAAAGGGCAATCGATTATGCAACGGAGCTTTCAACAACCCGTTTTATCTATGGAAACCAAAATCTCAGATTCAACCTAAGAGAAAAACGAAGAAAAAAAATCCAAAAATAAAAATTTTCCCACAGATTTTTTCAGAGACTGTAGACAGTGGGGTAAAGCAAAAAGAGACTTAGGGATTCTACAGGCACACAAAAGAGTAAGCAGTCTCTCCAAGAATACGCGTTTTTGAAAATCGGTACGGTAGTTTTGAAAAAAAGTTGTAAAGAAACTCCAAAGCGTCTCCAAAACTAAATTAAATATAAACCCCAATTCGAAGTATTTTCAAAATACCTGATTTAACCTATGAAAAAAAATCAGGTTGAGTTATGATATAATGCATTTTGAATAATATTTTCGTAACATTTTGTTAAAATCATTTTTGCAATCGGAATTCCTGATTTTTTTTATGAAAAAAATCAGGCTGTATTATGATTTATGCATTTTGAATTAAATTTTTAAAACACTTTTTTCAACTTTTTGCAATCAGAATACCTGAGTTTCGCATGACAAAAAATCAGGCTGGCTTATAATTTATGCATTTTCTGATAACTTTTTTTCAAATTTTTCTTGTAATCATTCTTCTAGTTTCACATATGTAACAATCAAAAAATATTTTCTTAGATTGATGTAATAATTTTGATCAATAATGCCAATTAGCTCGAAATGTTGTGTACGAGTTTACAAACATACAGAAACAAAATATTAGGATATAACCACGAACGCTAATAGCTTGTCTTGTTTACCCCACAAAAAAATCATATCTTTAGAGACTGGAAAAAACGGTATCTTAAACGGAGGTTATCTAGCAAGGTCTGTAAAAGATATGCATCATCTTTTAAAGAACTTGCAATATAACCATCTTTTATCGACTGCGGATGAAATTCCGAATACTAGATTTGCAAAAAGTAGAAACTTCAGTGCGCAAAAAAAACAGGTCGCGCCGAGATTCGAACACTTGGTCTTACCGATCCCAAGCACGTGTGTTACCTCTATAACAATTGTGAAAAAGGTAATCAGAGTTGAATTTATGTTACCTCTATAAAAAACACTAGCACCTGGTTGGAATACCTTCGCCTTTCAAGGGTAAATATAAGCTCATATAGAAAATTGAGTAACTTAGATAACAAAAAAAGATTGGTTATCTTTAAAACCTATGTTTTTGACTGGTTATTTGAAAAATGCACGTCCTTAAACTTCTTTGAACATAGAGAATCCTTGATGGGTCATTCTTTTTTGCTAAAACCAAACCCTATTTGTGAAAATTGGATTAATTAGTAGTTTAGTCATTCCAGTAGCTAATTAAAAATTACCATCCACTTTCAAAACTAGAAATAAAAAACACTTTTTTTATGTCCAATTTGTCTTTTCGTTATTAAATATCATAATTTGTCTTCTCTTTAGCAAATGAATTCAAATAGAACATTTAAGTAAATCGCAATAAATCAAATTTGAGCGTGAACAAAATTAAGAACTCCCCTATAAACAAAATTAGTGTCCTTCATTTCAAAAAGCCTCAAATAATGTCTTCTTTTCGTTAATTGACACTTAAGAACTTCAGTAAAGCATGACAACATCTAGAATAGACAAGCAAGCTGGTTTGCACATAATTGTTCCGACTTTGTTCCGTGGTTTTTTTTATTCAGTCAATTTTCACCGATTGAAAAAATGATTTTCAACAAAAAATTTTTATATCCCATTGAAGATATCGACTTCCTGAGTTCAAATGAAAAAAGATATTTCACCTCCGATAATTTTTTGTGAAGTTCTAGGGGTTTGAAAATTGCCAAACTTGCCATGTTCTGGACTAAATTATGCGTGCTTTGAAGAGTTTATTCATCATGCTGAGAGGGTAACGCGAATTATTTATGCGCGGCGAATTATCTCGCACACCAAAATCGTTCCAAATTGAATTGAGGCTATAGCTAATTGGTCGTATTAATTTCGTACGACTCTTTAAATTTTACACATCAATATTGTCCAAAATGTATAGGTTTTCAATATTTACTTTTCCCAAAAACTATTCGATATAAATTAAAGGACAGTCAGAACATTAAGGGCTTTACCCTGATATACGAGCAGTCTTATTTCGTTTTAATTTGAATCTTATTTTATCGCCTTTTTTGTAATCAGAAAGTGGACGTCTCTTAGTAAATCCAATGATCCGGTTGGAAAAAATATATATGACCCTAAACCTCTTTACTTTCAAGAACAATTTATGATTGACACTTTTTTGATAAGGTTAACCCAATTTGAGAAAACTGGATCGAAAGGTAAATTTTTGATTCCACTGGAAACTGGAAAATCTGAAAGCCAAATACCACTTTCGAAACTAGAAGTCGATCACGTTTTTCGGGACCTTGACACTTTTGCTGTTCGATAATGGAGTTTCCTTCTTTTCAAAAAATGAAACGAACTGAACTTAAAAAGAAATCAAAAGCCAAACGGTGAAAACTCAAATTTGAGCATGAACAGACTTTTTCCTGAAAAAAAAATAACCAAGACCTATATAAGAGAATTCACTACGTGCATGACTCTTAGTAATATTTGTATTTTATGGAAAAAGTCATGTTACTGAAAAACATTTAATTTTAGAAGCTTTGTTTATCGCCAAACCCAAGCCATACAGAATCAGACAGCTGTTGCCGCAGCTGCAGAAAACATAGATTTTAGTATGCTTAGAGTTATCGGTAAAAAGTTTGATTTTTTCTACTTAAGATTTCTGTAATGTTGTTGTTCCTTCCGACCAACGAAGGTGTATAGGAAGTTTGGATTCATTTTTTTCATGCAAATCAACGTAAGCCAAATAAGTTTGAGTGAAATCTGATTTAACAACCTTTCAGTCGTAATTCGAGCTGCAATAACATTCCGAAACAGTATTAAGGCTGTTGAGGAAAAGCGGTCAGAAAATTTACCTTTTCAGAGCAACTTAGATGAATGTTTTTTTTCCTCAAACTTTTGCAACAAAAAATATCCGATATGAGACAGTTTGAATTCATCAATTCAATCAAGCAACTCAAATTGCATGCATATGAAAAAAAAAGTTTTGACAATTTTCCAACGTTTTTTTGCTTTTTTTTCGTACTTTTTTGAGTTAATCACTTACTCAGGGAAGCTTAATTGAACGCATAATTTTCTTGCTCTTTACTTTTTTTGCCAAAGCTTTTTATCCATTCAGAGTTCTATTTCAGTGCAGTTGATAAAACTTCAGAATAAACAAGCTCTAATATTTTGTTTTCAACACTGATTAGAGATAAATTCGTTTATTGTTCCGACTTTCGATACGAAAGTAACGGAATATTTGTGCTCGGGGTGGGTTTTTTTTTCTTCAGACAAATTTCGACTTTTTAACTAGCCATTTTTGACGGAATTTTCTTATATCATTCGAAAGATATTGTTGTCCTCAGCTCAAATTTGAAAAAATATTTCACCTGTGATTTTTTTTTGTAAAGTTACGGGCGTTTAAAAATTGCCATATTGGCCAATTTGGGACAATTAACGCGCGATCTATTTCGCGCTATTAACGCGTAAGCGGAGAGTTAATCCGTCTTAGAAATCGTTCCAAATTGGTTGAACGAAGCTTATCTATTTCGCGCTATTAACGCGTAAGCGGAGAGTTAATCCGTCTTAGAAATCGTTCCAAATTGGTTGAACGAAGCTTTTCATTTTGTTTTTGTTTATTTTTTATGTTGTTTATGTTATTACTGCTCCATAAACGTTAAAAGGTAGTCGGAACTTTCAGGGCTTCGCCCTGATACGAGCAGTCTTGTTATTATTATTATGATTATTATTATTATGAAATCTGCAAAGCGAGGGATTACTCCCAAAGATACAGTTAGAGATCATATAAGGGATTTCTCAGTTTACAAAAATTGCACATGCAGAGGAAAGTCCAGGTACAGGTTTGTTTTTTTTGTATTTCACATACGTTGTTACATTTTGCGTCGTTTAATGGGACAAAAACAGAAAACTACGGGAAAAAATGTGCATAGTGAGATGCATATGTAATGATACGTCACGCCTACAATAGAAAAAACATAATATAAGTTAAGTCTATGGCCAGATTATCTAACTTGTTTCAAACATTGCTATTGTGCTTAAGAAGGCTTTATCTTAGGCCGACCCAATTTCCAAAAATAAGGACTGCTCAGGGCGACGTTATTCTCTTTTTGCCTAAAGCAGGTGTTCTCAATGAAGCTTGGTGAATAAAGTGTCACGGTCAGATCCAATTTTCTCTTCGAGTTTGAAAGTTGTGAACTTACGGGCCACGCAAAAGACTGGCTCTTGCTTCGTTCTAGGATGGAGTGAGTCATCGGACAGGCCTCTATCTCGTACACGTCTGGGCTGATGTAGTCGGACTCCAAGGGATCCACCACATCGTGAGTGATCACGGTCACTTCCGGGTGCGAGGTGCGTGCACACTGCAATGCAATCAGACCAATAATTTGATCACATTTAACAAAATTACGTGCAGCTTATAATCGTATTATAACATTACCCCACTGTTATGTTATAATACGATTATAAGTGAGGTATTTTCTCTAGTTTTATTTAAACAGTCTCAGCTAATCAGAGATTTTGATTATGACTTTTGAGCAGTGTCTGATCTAGGATTTTCTTAATTGGATAAGGGCAGATTTCAAAGAAATAGACATATTTGTCAGCCTCTATTTTAAGATCTACCAAACTGATTTGCTGCGCTTTTACAAGACCATTTCAATGACCCGGGAGTCCATTCTCCCACCCTCACAACTAAGATTTATTAACATGGGTTTAAAAACCAGATTTCAATACTTTCATCGTTAGAACCCAAACTCTAATTAGTTTGAATGCAAGAACCAATATCTTGGGAAGAAAAACGCACTGATAACTTTTCAAAATGTTAAAAGAATTGTCAAAACATCATTTCTATCATCGATACTCTCCCATCGAGAAAATAGGTGGTTGAATAAGTATGCTATTGCTTCCTCGAACAGAGATTCCATACTATTGCCACTACATTTCTGATAGATTCAAAACATTAGTTTAATTTTTAAGCAATTCAGTCATACGATACTTACTAGCTCGTGCATGTTTCTGTCAGCGAAGTAGGGCTCTGGGATGGGCCACTGACCGTTGGGCTGACCTTTCACTGGTGCCTTCACTATGATCATTTTCTGACAGTTTGTGAACATCTGTTTCTCGCCTTCCACGCCATTAGGCACTCCATTCATGTCATTTTCTCTTTTACCTGAAGACAAGTCCACTCAGCGTCATGGCGTGTATTTAAACCAATTCCCTCCTCAAATTCTTCGGCCACTTTTTCATCAAGAAAGCAAAAATGCCGAAGGTAATTTGTGGAAGAACCGAGTCAATAATCAGTATACAGCAACAAGCGTTTCGGATGAAATTAGAATTGGCATACAGAAAAAGACCATACCTGGTTTTGAAAATCCACCGAGTACTGCTTTCGAAGAGTTGCTCAAAAATTTCAGCACTACTCCATGCAAAATCTTCTGTGAAATGGACTCCAAGCATTGATTCAGTACTTTCATTGAGGTGATTTTGTACGATCGACCTATAGGAATAAACACTGAACAAATAGATCCGGGCAAAACCTAACGAATAAAAGATCTTTTTTTTTGCTTTTGAAGTCTTCAACTTTAAAACAGATGGATTGATAAGCAGGAGAACTTGAAAGATTCAGCAAATTAAAAAAAACATATTTCATTCACCTCCGGTAACTTCGCAGAGGTCGTTCAGAGCACGATTGTCACTCGCGGGCACTCCAGGTTGATTCGAACTGTCTAGAACTTCGTCCAATGCGGGTATCTGCAAAACGAGGGAAAAGACCCGCTGATCCCATCGGTATGGCTCTGAAGTTAGTTCAGAACCACGGACACTTGACAGTGGAAGTGTTAACTGAAAAGGGCAACAAACGCTCGCACTCCTATTATATATCAAATAATTTTTTCATACAATTTTTACTGCACTCATCCATAGGTTTAATGCCGCCTAGATTTCAACTTGATGTGGATGAGCATGTAAAATGTTTCAACAATGCAGGTGGCCACTGTACACACCTCAATATCGGGACCTTTGTTGGACGAAAAAGCATGTCCATCCGTGAGGCAGAGCACAAGTGTGGGTTCTAGATACCATGGATTACGACCCTAAAGATAAGATAAGGACTAAACGGTATCGAGCGCAAATATGTTTACACCTCAAACGATGACAAACCATTCCATAGTTGTCGATTCTTGATATCATCCGGTTTATATTCAGCATATCGAAAGCAGTTTTGAAGCCATCGCCGAGAAGTGTCACTCCTTTCGCTCCGAGACATTTTAACTCGTTAAGTAGATACTGAGCGTCTTTCCAATTTACCTAAGCAATTTGAAAAAATCTAAATTAATGTAACATTGATGAGCACGAGCAATTGGTTTTCTATTCGAAAAAAAAATGTTTTATAGTTATAATTTGCTCACAATAGACTAAATTTACTATCAGAACTTCAACTCTTCTTTAAAAAAAAACATACAGATTGCCTGCTAGTTCTAACTAAGAAGACTTCTGCACCAAAAACCACAATTAAACCTACGGTTTTTTGTTTAACTTGCTCGCTGAAGGTAGGTTTGCTTCTGATTAATAGGCTTCGGCCTTTTTTATAATTCATGTCAAGCATTAAGAACCTACTTAAATGAAAACTTGGATTCCCATTGTAGCAGAAAGTTTGAGGGAAATTGAATTATACTGATTGAAATGCTATAGTTCAACTAGTAAAATAAGCTAAAGGATCTACGTTGATTTCAAACTTGTTAGCATTATTTTGTAAATGCTCTGATATAACTTACTCATTAGAAACGCAACATTCAATCAATTAAATAGAAACAAAATGGGGAGGGCTAAATATGATCGTTGATCGTAAAAGAAATGCATATATACATATTTCAAAATAGTTTCGTATTAGCTGATATTGATGGTTTTGATTAGTACCTTTATGTTCTTCGGGAACTCTTCAGTCGTGAGCAGCATAAAGCGATCCGAAGTGATTCCATTGCACTTTTGACGAATCTAAAGCAGAGTATCACGGAGTTAACGATTTTTTTTTTCAACTTACTAAGACTTACGGCTGTATTTGACATGCACGACATGCTCAAAAAGTTACCTTCAAAAAATTTTCGATTGCAACTTTGGCAATATCCAGAAAAGTAGTCCCATAATAAGTCCTCTGATTCATGGAACCACTGGTATCAATTAAAAAAAGAATATTTGGCATTAGAGAATGTTAGCCCGTCTTTCAAACTATGGGTCAGATATTTCGGTATTGTATTGAATGATTTCAGCATTTCAATATTCTCTTCTCTTCTGTCTTCGGAGATTATCGCTCTCGAAGTGACGTTTATTCACCACGATATGTGATCGAAGCAAATATTTGCCGCACGAGGGCGGCTATATTCTATTTGAATCGCAAGCTACTCTTAAGCTTCAAACGAATGACTGTTTGGCCGAGCACCATTAGTGCAGAATTTTTCTACAGCTTGCTGACAGTATATTCTTGGATCAAATTTGAATATTCTTTTTCTTTTCACAAACTGCTTTAAGAGACGTTTCGAAATGACTCGGAGAAAAGGTAGAACTCGAAATTGTGCTCTCTGCTCTAGGAGCTCTGATTGTGAACACTCAGCAGCTATTCAGTATAAAAAACTTAGAATTGTAAGACCGCCTACCTTGGCAGACATAAATTTAGCCGAAAAAATTGTAGATTTCAACAGCGTTGCGTATTCCGATGACCAGATTTAAAAGTATTTAATTGCTACGCTGTGTCGAACAACTTTCTGCCTGTTTTGATTTTCGGCTAAAGTGACGATTCGACTAGATACATTACTTACTAGAAGTGTTCATAAATCAATTGTAAAATCTCCCTCTTCATGTTGGAAAGGTTGTAGTAAAGAGATCCTATCGGCTTAACAAGCAAGCGGCGAGCGCTACATCAAGCAAAAAGTACTAGTATAAAATTCCGTGTCCGATGAATAAGACGACAGGGCGGATCTTTTCCATTTTCCCCTCCACATTTCAAATTTTCCATTTTTCCATTTTCTCAGTTGTCTTAGGCAGGGGCGGATCTAGGATTTTATCGAGGGGGGGGGGGGAGGAGGGAGGCACGGCAGATTTTCAAAAAACCTTTCAAAAAACCGACCTTTTTTTTAGGTCGACCAAATTGATTTTCTGAGCTCTCCTAAATCACTATAAAAACCCCATTTTGACAAAATTTTCTGAGCCGCCCGCTGGCAAGTTTATAAAAAATCGCGTTTTTTGGGCGCGCGCTCTCCCCTCAAAATTAGTATATATTGGCACCAAAGGGAAAATATTTAGGGTACGTCAGCCAAAAATTTATATCTCAAAATAGCACAAAGGGGGATTCTTTGGGTCGGCATGGGGTCGAATCACTACGGAAAAATGGCGCTCCCCCTAAAATTTAGTATATATAGGAACCGAAGGCGCCTTTAGAAAAAACTTGGGGTCCCCCAGCCAAAAATGGATATCCTAAAGTAGTACGGGTCTTATGCACTAAACGGCCCAATTTCATTATTTCTACATCTATTGAATTGAACTTATTGTGGATGAATTTGATTGGCTAATTAGCCAATCTAGTTTCTTCGACATGTTCTGCCATTGCAATTGAAATTTCAAGCAGATAAAATTATTAGCGGAAATGATAAAGAAAAATTAATTTTGTTTTGTCAAGCCATTTTACTAAATTTTGCTTGTCTGGGCAAGGTTTCACAAGTGACTCAAAATTAATTTGATAATTTGACTCAAAGTTCCACATTTTCGGCAATTTCGGCTAATATTTTTATCTGCTAGAAAAGTTGATCGGAATGCCTGACCGTGTAACTTGAATTTGATTGGCTAAAGTTACCCAATCAAATTTGATCGCATAATTTCCAGCTTACAATCAATGTAGAAAAATTGATTTTGAGCCCTTTAGTGCATAAGACCCAATAGTACAAAGGGAAGACCCTTTGGGTCGGCAGGGGGTCGAATCCGTCTACCTTGGCTTGCTAGTCCGCCTCGCCAACCCCCCCCCTAAATCCGCTGGTGGTTTTCAACAAAACATTTATACCCTATTGAAGATATCGACTCCCTGAAATCAAAAATAAAAATATCAACCTCTGATAATTTTTTGCAAAAGTCTGGGGAGTTCGAAAATTGAAAATTGACAATTTGGTCATCCTCTGGACTAATTTATGCGCGCTTTGAAGATTTCATTCATAATGCGGAAAGCGTAACGAGAATTATTTATGCGTGGGGAATTATCCCGCTCAACAAAAGCGTTCCAAATTGAAATGAGGCTTGCTAGTCTGTCGTATTAATTTCGCACGGTTCAGTTTTTCACACTTGATCTTTGATATTGTCCAAAATTTAAAGTTTTTCAATATTTTCTTTTCCCAAAAACTATTCGATATTGATTAAGGGTGCAATCGGAACATTTATGGTTTTGCCCTGATATTCGATCAGTCCTTTTGTTCCGACTTTCGTTAAGAAAGTAACGGAAAACTCGTGCTCGGGGTGATTTTTTGGGTTTTATGCACAAAACGGCCCAAAAGTAGTATTTTACATGATAGAACTAAAATTTATGTGATTGAATCTGATTGGCTAATTCAACAAAGCGTACGGTACTTCAATTAAAACTCCAAGCAGATAAAATTGTTAGCCGAAACTACCCAAACCTAAGAACTTTTGTTCTGTTGAAACCATTTCGCAAAACTTTTCTGGTTTTCGTCAAAGTTTCACAATTGACGTGAAATTAATTTTATTATTTGAGTAATTTCTAAATTTTTTTAAACTTCGGTTAAAATTTTTATCTGCTAAAAACGTAGACTGAAACGCCTGACCGTGTTGCTTGAGTATAATTGGGCCCATCAAATTCGACCGCATAATTTTCAGCTCAATTTATAGAAATATTAATTGTGGGCCGTTTAGTGCATAAGACCCGATTTTTTTTTCTTCAGACGAATTTCGACCTTGTAACTAGCCATTTTTGATTTAATTTTTTTTATATCATTCAAAAATATTGTTGTCTGAGCTTAAATTTAAAAAATATATATTTCACCTGTGATCATTTTTCATAAAATTATGGGGTTTAGAGATTGCCAATTTGACCAATTTAGGACAATTAACGCGCGATACAGAAATCGTTCCAAATTGGTTGAAGAAAGCTTATTGCTATAATTGATTTGTTACTAGGAGCGAAATGTATAACTTTCTACTTAATATGGCCTGATGACGTGTGGGGGGATGATTTCACAAAAAATCTTAAAACAAAAAAAAATTCGTCTTATTTTAATTACATTTAATTTTTTCATGCTTTTACTGCTCCATAGACTGCTCTATAACTTGAGGCGTGTTAGTTGGTAAATTTTTTTTCTTTTCAAATTGACTGGTATTGCTAATGCATCAATTGGCGTGCGTGACTCAAGAAATTTTTTAGACTCATAGTTTTACTCATTCCTGTTTTTGCAGTAGCGTTATCGGGACTATATTTTTGTTTGTACAGACTATAAGTGGAAACTAAACCTGCCACATTGCAAGGTATCTGCCACATTGCAAGGTAAACTTGCCACACTGCAAGGGCAGATTTTCAAAAAAAAACTTTCAAAAATTTTGTCGACCGTTTCTTTGGGTCGACCAAATTGATTTTCCGAAGTCTCCCAAATCAGTAAAAAGAGCATGTTTTTGTCAAACTTTTTGCGCATATAGATGTCGTAAACTAATATCAAAGGTGGGACCTTTTTGTTGGCGAGGAGGTCAATTCCTTGAGGGGGGAGGAGGGTGTGGAAGGACGCCGCTTCTCATCTCCTCCCTAAATTTGCCCCTCGCTCATATGTCTTGTCGTCTTATTTCTCTAGCATCAAAAAATGTATAACATCATTTTTGATAATATTCAATCTCCCTCTCATTCAGTATCAACCGCAAAATCCCTCTGGTGGGCCACATAGGAGGGTGGGAGCTGGGATTTGTACGTACGGTTGATCTCTCATTTGAAGTACGTACAAGTACAACCAACCCCTTCGTCTTTCCTCTAAGTGAAATGATATTTGGTTGGGGGGGGGGGGGGGGGATTGTACGGTTGAAGAACAAACTCACCATTCTGAAGCCTAATTTTTTCTAACAAGTCCGATCTAAAAAATAACACTTTTTGGCCTTTTTTTGCCACAATTTTTGAAAAGTTGCATTTCTTAACTTGTAAATGCTGTAAGTAATAAGTTACGAAATTTTCTGGGACAAGTGTTGAGATTGCTAAGGCCTCCGAAGATATTTTTTGGAGCTCAGAAAGTTTTCAACAATATTCGTATCTTCAGATTGCGATGAAAACCATCAGGTCCAGTCATCTTGGAAGTCTTGGAAAGATCTTGATAATTCTCTATAACTTACCAAAGATAGGTAAGGTTCTTCAAAGAATGTGCACCCGTTTATTAGGTTGAACCCCCAGTAATAAGCTCAAATAACTTAAAAATATCGTATCAACCAATTACGCAAAAGAAGAAGAAAAATTTATTTCTCCAAATAATAATATAGCAGACCATCGTTTAATAGCTATTTCTTTTACAATTTAAACAAATAAATAATTTAAACAAATAATTAAACAATGGCTTTCACATTATAAGGAGAGGACAGGCAAAGGGAATAATAAATTCCCACTGAGCGCCTACCCTATTCAAGCATCATTTCAAACTGCAAATAGTACAAATATTTTTATATAACTAATTGTCTGCAAGAAAAATAGAACAATTATTGCATTAATCTGATAGAAGTCGTATAAGCTGGTTCAAAGTTCCTTTACCCACTGAGAGTGAGCCCGAGGTCGCCAGAACTCTAAACCATTCAAACGAGTATATATAATTTTTTTTTTTTCAAAACAAATGTTAGAGAAATTACTTTTCCAGCAGAGCAAACAACATTGAAAATTAAAATAATCAAAATAAACTTTATCAAAATCAGAAACATAGTCTCTTGAATGGACATAGAACATAGAACAACCGCATTGCACAAATAATTTAAATTTAACAGCAAGGATGGTACAGGTATTATTCAGAAGATAAGGGATGAAAAAATATATAACTGATTTGTTTACAAATTTCAAAGTTTTTCACCGAAAACTTATACCAGGCAATTTTTTTCCTCCTTAAAATTCGCTAGTAAATTGGGCATAGTAGAACCTTTTGGGGGCTACATTTTCTAACTTTTTCAAAAATATGACTATGTTCTAGGCGATGCAAAAATTCACTTCACCAGCACAATTCCCATACTAGGACTTGAATAGTATTAAACTATGTTGTCTAGGACAACGCCCTTTCTTCTGAAAGAATATGCTGGCTCCGCTTCAGATTGCATCACAACAAAGTCATACTTTTATTTACAACTATAAATGTGCTTAACGAGGTCTATGTTGCCTATCAGAAAATTAGTTTTGAAATTTTTCAGAAATTTTTTAATTTCATTCTTTTTGAAGGAACAAAGATTTTCTGGTAGAATGTTATTTTCACTTAAGAAATTCCAAAGTCTCGAGCTTCTTCTTTTCAGTGAATTTGATCTGGTATTTGTTTTGCAAAAAGGTTCTGAAAAAAGAAGAAATTCAGATTTTCTCGTTTTGCGCATGTATTCAGTTTTGGTGAAAAAGGAATTTAGAAAAACAGTTGAATGCATTTCATTTACCGATTGTAGACAAAATTTCAGAAGTTTGTGAACATATAATTCGTGAACGGTTAATATTCCACTTGAGTAGAAATGGTCGGTAATACTATCATATTTTTATGTAAAATATAAGACGCATAATCTTTTTCTGTAACATATGAATGGGATTTAAGGCATTTATACTGGTGCAACCATAAAAAAGCAATCCGTATTGAATAATTGGTAGGATATTATAGTTATAGTATTTGAGTAACACACTTCTGGGGGTAAAATTTCGCATTTTTGACAGCACCCCACAATTTCGTCCCAACTTAGACCTGATTTTCAAAATGTGATCCTGAAAAGAGAGTTTACTATCGATGTGGACACCTAGATACTTCGATGAATGATTTGGCACATATGTATGATTATCAATGGTTAACATGAGACTAGAATCACTTGTATTTTTATTAAATGTTATCATTGTGGTGTTATCGGTGTTTAACGTTAATTTATTTGATTTAAGCCACGAACTTATATTTGATATATCATTTTGATAAGTGAGTAGATCACTTTGCCCTGACACGACATTTGTATCGTCAGCAAAAAGAAAAACATCAGCTACTTCAGTAACAAAGGGCATATCATTAATGTAAATCAGGAAAGGTAATGGTCCTAGAACTGAACCTTGAGGCACACCACACGTCACCGGCAACCATTTAGAAAAAGTATCATCAATCACTACACATTGGAAGCGTTCAGCCAAATAACTTTCAAACCAGTTAAGAGCAATACCTCTTATTCCATATAACTCTAATTTTTTTAGAAGCAGCCTGTGATCAAGAGTATGGAATGCTTTTTTCAAATCAATGAAAAAACTACAGTTTATTTGACTATTATTTTCAAAGCGAATCCTTTCAGTCAATTCCACTAATGCGTCAACAGTAGAATAAGTTGACCGGAAACCAAATTGACGACTGTAAAGCAAATTAAAGTTCTCTAGATTGTTCGATACACGATTTTGCATTATTTTTTCATATATTTTACTACAGCTATTTAGCAGCGAATTAGGGCGGTAATTGTTAACATCTAGCTTGCTTTCGTTTTTATGTAACGATAGGACCTTAACAAATTTCAGACAGCTCGGAAAACTTGCGTTATTAAAAGAAAGGTTGATTAGGTATGTAAGGTAAAGTGCTATAATATAAGCTGCTTTTTTAAGAAACTAATTGCTGATTTCATCAATGCCTGACGTATGTTTTGGCTGTATACTATTAATCACTTGCACAACTTCAAAATAAGTACATGGAAATAAATACATTGATTGACTTTCAGAGGTTTTCCGCATATTGTGTTGGGTGTCTTCAGTAAGTGATGATAGTTTCGGCCCAATAGCTGCGAAAAAGTCATTGAAATGCTCTGCAATTTCCGAAGGCTTTGTTATTTCCTTACCTTCGACATTTATCATGGGGATATTTTTTGACGATGAATTTTTACCTGCTATTTCATTTAATAACTTAAAAATTTGTCTCGAGTCTCCAATACATTTAAGAAACTTGTTTGAATATTAATCTTTTTTTGCTTTTCTTTTACTTTTTTCTACTTTGTGTCTTTCAATTAAAAATAATTCTTTTTTCTGGATGTTTGAGAAGTCATTTTTCCATATTTTGTACAACCTTTTTCTTTTTATGACAGCATTTTTTAAAGTTTTACTAAACCATTCGGCATTTGATTTTCTTCCTACGCCTGATTTTTTTAGAGGTGAAAAATTGCATAAAACTTCAAATAAGCTGCTTTGAAAGTTATTGTAAGCAAGGTTCACATCGTTCACGCCCATGATTTCAGATGATAAAAGCTTATCTTCAAGAGAAATTCAAAATTGGCTAAGAGTACGTTCTTTATTTAGGAATGAGAAATCTCGAAAATGATGTGGATTACTTTTTCTTAAGAGACCAACATCGAAATTTAGTAGTAAGGGATAGTGATCAGAAAAAGACTGAACGTCGAGCACATTTGTTGATACATCGCAAATGTTTCTTGTAAAGAAATGATCTACACACGACGTACTAGTTTTAGTCAACCATGTTGGTGGAGTACTGATGAGTTCAAAACCATTTGATATTATTGCATTCTGATACAGATGGCTCAATTTATTTTTAAATAGGACGTCAATGTTAAAATCTCCACAGATAACAATTGGGCATGTGTATGCTGAAAGTGTTTCCAATTTCTTGTCTAAATCTTCGACAAAACTCATTTTATCATATCGAGGAGGAACATATATAACCACTACTACAATACGGTTCCCAAAAAAGTCAATTAAAACTGCTGAGGATTCAGGTAGATTTGCACTCAGCTGTTTAAGTATATTTACATTGTTATGAAGTTGTATCATCGTACCCCCACCTCGGGTTGATCTGTTTGTAGCAGCATATTGTTTATAGCCTTTGACTGCATAACAGTCTGGATTATCATCATCGGGTAACCAAGTCTCTGTAATACATAATATACTGGGCGGAGACTCGAGACTACCTATAAGTGTTTCCTAATAGAACGAACATTTGATAACATTACAGAGAATTTTTTTTAGTAATAACTGCACATTTTGATGAACTTTTAGGAACCACTGGGGTTGGACGAGTTACCGAAAACACTACTAAATACTCATTCAAATCATTATGAGAATAATCCAGAAATTTAGCTCCTTCATACAACCCTTGTATGCGGTAGATTTTGTAGTTTCGCAATTCTTCGTGCAAACCGCACAATGATGGGTTTGTTTTATGACGCTCTTGATGGCAACCGATGAGCTATGGATATGTCTTTCAATTCTATTTGGGCATTTGTCTCATTCGCAACTTTCAAAACCTTTTCCATTGTCTCTTCATTTGTTTCGCGATTTGAGGAGTCTTAAACTCCTAGAATTTTTACATTCTCTCTTCTGGTGTACGACTCTACTAATTCAGCTTCGGACAACGCTTTTAAATCACATTTCATTTTTTGGGATGAGAGGCGCCAATATTTTTCTGACATGATTTCCTGCTTTAGGTTCTGCATAGATTCTTGAATAGCATCCTTAATAAGATCTGCGAGCTGGTTCTTTAGTTGGTCAATGATGCCAGGAACGATGGTCGCCATGGATAATTTGACCGCATTTTCAACTTTTGTGGAAAAATCATCATTGTTTTCTTCTTCGGCCATTGGGGAGAGCGTGGCCCGAGGACGCTTCGAATCTGGTCTGGAAATCGGGGTTTGGTCGCGGTAACGAAGTTCCGGGATATTGGTTTCGTCTTGATTCGGCACTGGACTGGGCTCAGCATTTGGTTCAACTGACATCTCATCGCCATTAACTTTTTCCATGTTTCGTCTCTGAAACTATTTAATAAGTTTATCACAACAATTAGGCTATCAATTATAAATAAAAAATCATTTCACACACACTGCGCAGAAAAATTGCTTCTTTGACTTCAATTTTAATTGCTTCTGTGACTTCAATTTTAATTTCAAAGACTTCAATTTTAATTGAAAATTTGATTTTGAATATTTAATTTGATTTCATCATTTCACACAAGCGCGCAGAAAAATTGCTTCTATGATTTCAATTTTAGTTTCAAAGACTTCAATTTTAATTGAAAATTTGATTTTTATTATTTTAGCTAATTGGTTACATAAATATCTATCTTTTGTCCTCAATTTTAATTTATAATGAATTATAATAGATTTTTATGAAGAAGAGCTTGGATTTTCCAAAACTTTGAAATCAAATATTCAAAACTTCAACGTTGCAATTGCTAAATTGTGTTTCACATTTTGCTAAAGCAAAAGTTTGTATCGTTTTATACTTTTTCGTTTTGTCTCCCCTCCCCCTTCACACTTACTCCCACCATTCTTACTTCCTTCAGTTATCACCACCTCCCCTCCCCCACTTATTACTTATTTACATTTACCGTATAAATACCTGAAAATTACCGTACGCGTGCCCCCTACCCCCTAAAATGCGCAAACACCTTTAACAACCCGCCGATCCAACAGATTTTTAGGCCCCCCAAAAAAAATTAAGGGGCGTGTCAAGTAGGTTTGGGGAGAAGGGAGGCGTGTGGGTGGGAGATTACGTGAGAACAGGGGTTTTCAAAACGTAATTGAAATAAATTTAATTGCAAGTAATTGAATTAAAATTCAATTTAAGATAGTTCAGTTAATTGAACAATTGGGCAAGGCGCATTCAATTAATTAATTTTCTGTAAACAAGGAGACATGGAAATTTTTTCGTTTCAGATATATCCAAGAAATACTTTGTGCCGAACTTCCAAGTATCAAACTGCGCCACATTTTTTTGAGAAATATATTCTATTCGTACATTATCTTTCTGTGACATTATTTCTACAATGCCTGGCAAGAACGAAGCCGTTGTTGCACTATTCTTTCCCCGAAACCAGACAGACGAGAACTTGTGGACTCGTTAACACGGGCAACAATTAACCCAGAAAAAGGGAACGGGTAGCATTAATCTAATTAACCATTTTCGTGGCCTACACCCAGATTATAACAAAGAATGTGCCAAAACATCAGTGACCAATTTTTTGTGCTTGGGGCAGCTTCTACAAAAATATACATCGATGGTTGGACTGAAAACTTTCTAAATTACTCACAGTCTCTTTTGTTGAAGACCCTTTGTCACGAAAATATTCTTACCTTTCGCCAATTTTCAAGAACACGTTTTCATCTTACCTAGAGGCCAGGAGAAAGGAATTGAAAAGAAAAAATCTCTTGAATTACGTTGGTTTTGACGGATGGTCCAAGGGGTCAACCCACCTCTAAGCTTTTTTCACCTCTTACTCTTGCGCTGACAAACAATATCAAAGTTCATTACTTTGGTTTTCACCCCTTTTGATTGAAAAAAACTCTACTGCCCAAAAAAAGTTTTTATTTGATTATATGAAGTTTCTGCTTTCAACTTAAAAAAAAAACTTAGCAAACATTGTGTACATCACCGAAGAAAAGGCAGAAGTTAACCGCGCGACAGCCAATTTCTGTGGTGTGCCAGTTATTGGGTGCGCCTCTCATAGATTCAATTTGGCGGTCAAAGGATGTCTAGATCGTCATTCTCAGACTTTGGATGGTATTCATTCAGTTACGGTGAAACTAAAAACTGGTGAGGCGAGCTACGTGAGTTCACCAAACTTCAGCCAATACTCTACAATGAAACTCGTTGGGTGAGTTCTTTGAACATGATTCCAACATTTTTGGAGGTATCGCCGCACTTGGAAAAGTTAGCCAGCTACTCAAAAATCGTCGACAACATTCCGTCTGCTCGGCAGATTACTGAGCTTAAACCCTTGAACGAAAAGTTGGCTAAATTAGGGTCACTAACTTTGGCCCTCTAAGATGACTGTTTGGATTTACACGATGCAAATATTCTTTTCGACGAAATAATCACATCGAATAGCGAGCCAGATTTTAACAAATACTTATGTCCGACATCCCATATTGTACACCGCCCCATGCTTGAAGCTGCCGTGGAAAAAAGTACTTCTTTCTGAGGAGCGGTTGCTGCTACCTGATGAGGCGGCAAGTGTGATAATTTTATTAAAAAGCGAGCAGGCAACCCTGGTAACATCAGAAGAGGGAAATTCAAATTTGTCCAATTTTTCATGTCAGTCTTTGAAAAAGCGGAGAAAGTAAAAACAGATAGTCCCAGTGCCTAATTGCAGTATAAGATCATACTACCCACTTGAATGTTTCTTCAGTAGTGCTGGGTAAGCTTTTTTGGTAACACCAAAACTGTGTTTTAAATTAATTTTAAGCTTCAATTATCTGCTTCCTTATATCCAAAAAAGTTCTAATTTTGATGAAAAAGGCTATAAAATTACATACGAGATACTTATTGTAAACCGATAAAACCGTACTAGATACCTAAAGAAAAACCGTACTAGATAACTAACAAACTAGTATTTACACAGTACCCTAGTACCCCAGTAGAGTCTCGAACCCAAAAAGCTTTGTAATCCCTAAAATTTGTTCTGAAAAATTTTCCAAACAAAATAATTCGAAGAAAACAATTTTATTTATACCACTTTCTCCCTAATTTTCCACGACGCTTTTCTTTTGGTCGAATTTAAGTTTCAATCCAAAAAACACGGTTTTCGTTCCGCCGCTCAACCGTTGACACCGTCAACCGTGTTGTGTAAGTTTTTTGAGTGGCCCTCTACCTCGGTTTTCTCCAGTGGTTCAATGTTCTTTAAAAAACTGCTCCTCTCGCCTCGTTTTCGGGCGCATACTGTTGCGACTGTTGAAAGTATCTTTTCGCCGTAATTCCGTTACGTTTAACCAAATAACGTTACCGTTAACTTGTATATAAATGCACCTACATGTTACCGGGACCTTAGACACTAAACAGGGCCTTTACCTGACCTGGAAAATTAACCACGCTGCAAATTGAATCAAGCACTGGAATTTGATACCTGATCGTCAGCAAAAAGGCTAAATTTGCTTTTATTTGCATTATTTTGTAATCGGGAATTGAAAACCGACGACTCCGAAAGCCGAAACACTGTTTTGTTTGAGGATTCGTTGTGAACGCAGTCTACAAGGTGGTGATTTTTTCGACCAAAAATTTGTAACACCAAAACTGTGTTTTAAATTAATTTTAAGCTTCAATTATGTGCTTCTTTATATCCAAAAAAGTGCTAATTTTGATGGAAAATGCTATAAAATTACATACGAGATACTTATTGTAAACCGATAAAACTGTACTAGATACCTAACGAAAAACCGTACTAGATACCTAACAAACAAGTTTTTACCCAGTACCCTAGTACCCCAGTAGAGTCTCAAACCCAAAAAGCTTTGTAATCCCAAAAAATTGTTCTGAAAAATTTTCCAAACAAAATAATTCGAAGAAAACAATTTTATTTATACCACTTTCTCCCTAATTTTCCACGACGCTTTTCTTTTGGTCGAATTTAAGTTTCAATCCAAAAAACACGGATTTCGTTCCACCCGCTCAACTGTTGATACTGTCAACCGTGTTGAGTAAGTTTTTTGAGTGGCCCCCTACCTCAGTTTTCTTCAGTGGTTAAATATTCTCAAAAAAAAATTGCTCGATTCGCCTTGTTTTTGGCCGCATACTGTTGCGACTATTGAAAAAACCGTTTCGCCGTAATTCCGTAAAGTTTAACCAGTTTACGTTACCGTTAACTTGTATATAAATGCACCTTCATGTTACCGGGACCTTAGACACTCACCTTAAAAAATTTCAAAATAGCCAAAAAAAAAAAACCTTTTTTTTTCTTTCTTTTTACTCATAAGTCATTATCAACATTTCACCCTTAGTTGATAACCAATGAAACAACTGTTTTTTCCAACTTTGCTAATTGTGATCATTATTGCCGCTAGCTCTCTTCATCTTTCCATTGAAACTTTACCATTAGGAATACAAAAGCGCCTCGATAACACTTTTAAAGCAGTTCTAGGCCTAAGTGATGATTTGAAAGCAAATAACCGACTAAAGATTTTTCAAAAACTTCGACACATTTCCCCAAAAAACTAGAACAGAAAAGGTGATAACATGCAACGATGTAATTAATACTTTCTTAAGTAAGCATCGATCAAATAGTAATAACCCCTTACCTCAAAAAAGATGGTCGAAGTTTTGAATGAATAGAAAAACCAAATAGCTGACATTGTTTTAAAACAATGTCAATAGATCCTTGATCTTTATAAACGCAGTTTCTTGTGCCTCTGTTTCATAGGAAACGAGGGTCGTGAAGTCTTGCATTGATAATCTTGTGAATATAAGGCAACTACTTGACTTGAATTTAAACTGAATCTGTCAACGAACGCTGCTTTTATCTCCAATTTGAACGGAAATTATTTTTTCAATTTAAAGTTTGATCCCCGATCTTTATAAATACTTAGTCCAAATAAGATTTTTAACAATGGATGTGACCAAATATATGGTCTGAAAAAAATCTCACGACAAAAAATTAATCGTAAACGTAAATTAATTCATACTGCGGCATTTTAAGAAATCAACAATTTAACAATTACTAATCGTTATTCCCAATTTTTCCAAACTTATCGACAGACACAAAATTAGTCAACCACAATTGAAAAAATTGAAAGTAAAAAAAGCATAAGATTTTGCAAATGACAAATTTTGAACAAAATTTAGCGTTTGTAAGAAACAACACACAAAGTTTTGTTAAAAAAAAAGAATTCATCTTCAAGTTAAGTATCGCAGTTTCTTGTGCTTCTGTTTCACAGGCAACGAGGGTTGTGAAGTCTTGCATTGATAATCTCGGTCACTATAAGGCAACTACTTGACTTGAGTTTAAACTGAATCTGTCAACGAATGCAGCTTTTATCTCCGATTTGAACGGAAATTATTTTTTCGATTTAAAGTT